CCCCGCCCGGCACACACACACACACACACACACATACACACGTAAACTCCTCCCAGTTATTTACCCAGTTATTGATGTGTGTGTGTGTGACTCCCTACCGGTTGTGCCATAGTTGGGGCTCGTGCACCTGCCCTGGTACAACCTGGCTGTCTCAGCCCTGCTAGCTGAGTGCTCGTGTCTGGGGTATACCGCTGCCCCCCTGGATTGTGGAGACGGCTCCCGGACCGTGCACTCCATGGTCAAGGTGAGTGGGCCCTTCCGGAGCTCCTCCAGCTCTCACACATTCGGGGAACTCACAAGGAGCTTGCGAGCTCTCTCTCTGGCTCAGCGAGGGAGAGGACACAAACGGGAAAAGGCTGCTTTTTATCTTCATTCACAGCAGCGACATTCCAGAGCGCTGGACAGGACGTGTATCCCAGGCACTGGGAAGCCTGACAGGAAACCTGCAAGTTCCTGATACAATCCCTGGGAAATCCTGTATCCGTCCTGACTTTCCGCTGCATCGAGAGGCAACAGCGTTATTTTCATCGTAGCATTTTCCCAAAGTTCAGCAAATCAACAGGGATGGGGGGAGATGGACATCGAGGGGTAGAGAGACGGAGATGGAGGGGTAGAGACGGGTGAGGCACTGAGAGAAGGAGAGAGATACAGAGAGAGAGGGAGTGGAAGAAAGAGGTGAGGAACTGAGAAAAGGAGGGAGAGACAGAGAGAAAACAGGAAGGGAGACAGAGGGGTGAGAGACATAGAGAGAGGATAGGGAGAAAGGGCAGGAGTGAGGCAGCCAAGGAACAGAGAGAGAGGGGGGGAGCCGACAGATGTGAGGGAGAGGAGGACAAGAGATGACGATAAAGGGAGAGAACAGGCAGAGAGAGAGAGAGAGAGAGGGACAGAGATGGCTGAGGAGTAGAGGGGTGGGGGAGAGAGCAGAGTAGAAAAACAAGACAAGGAGAGGAATGGAGAGAAATGAAAGGCAGGAAGAGACAGCTCAACAAAGAGAACAGGGAGAGACAGGACAGTGAGTTTGAGAGATCGTGTTCGGATGGATGACAGGGAGACGAAAGGAGACAAACAGAAGGGAGGGAGAAACGAAGAAAAAGAAAGGGCAAGAAAGGACAGGAAGAGAGAGATAGAGAGAGAGAAGGGGGGTGGGAGAGAAAGACACAGAGAGAGAGAGGGAGGGAGAGGGAGACTGGGGGACAAAGAGGCAACAGACAGAGGCCAGGGACAGAGAGGAGGATCACCCCTATGTTTTGCATTGAAATGAGAGAGAACAAAACAAATACAGAAATGGAGTGCTTTTCTTTTTCCTTATTTATTCACAGGATGTGAATGTCGCTGGCAGGGCCTGCCTCGATCGAATGTCTCTAATTACCCCTTGAACTCAGTGTCTCACTCAGGCCAGGGGGAGGTTAAACATCAACCACACTGCTGTGGGTCTAGAGTAATTGTAGGGCCAGACCGGATACGGACAACAGATTTCCTTCCCTAAAGGATGTTAGTGAACTGGATAGGCTTTGACAACTATCGACAGTGGTTACACGGTCATTGTCACAAAGAGCAGCTTTCAGTTCCAGATTCATCAACTAGATGTAAACATTACTGGGAGAATGACTCAGGCACACATACTCCCACAATCACACACATAGACACACACACCGACACACACACACACATACACACACAGGCACACACATACTCCCACACACAGGCACACATAGACACACACACACCGACACACACACAGGCACACACATACTCCCACACACAGGCACACATAGACACACACACACAGACACCCACACACACACACACACACATAGACACACACACATAGACAGACACACACACACATACACACACAGGCGCACACATACTCCCACACACACACACATAGACACACACACCAACACACACACACACACAGACATACACACACACACACACACAGGCGCACACATACTCCCACACACACACACATAGACACACACACACAGACACCCACACACACACACCCACATAGACACACACACATAGACAGACACATACACACACACACACACACAGACACACACACAGACACATACACAGACACACACACAGACACACACACACAGATACCCACACACACCCACATAGACACACACACATAGACAGACACATACACACACACGCACACAGACACACACACAGACACATACACAGACACACACACACAGATACCCACACACACACCCACATAGACACACACACATAGACAGACACATACACAC